GAAGAAACCATGATAAACAAGCTCAAAGTGGCTTGTGGTTATGAATTCACTTCGAAACTTCATCGAATGTTCACCGACATTAAAGGTAAGTTTTTTAACTACTTTGCCCTCTTGATCACCATGTCTAATTGTTTGGGAAAACTTTACAGTCAGCGAAGATCTGGGTACACAATTTCTCGCTAGAATGAGTGAAGAGGAAGTTGACTTGAATGTCAGCTTTTCCGTCTACATTCTGCAAGCCTGTGCTTGGCCACTGAACATCGCCGCCGTCTTCAACTGCGTCCTTCCGCCTGTTTGCGAAAATGCACAGCAACGTTTTGAAAATTACTACAATAACAAGTTCAGCGGTCGAAAGCTGACGTGGCTTAATCATCTCAGCAATGCAGAAGTAAAGTTTCTTTACACCAAGAAGCTGTACACTGTCGTCATGACCACATATCATGTCAGTATCATTACCCTTTTTGAGAAAAAGGATGTCGTCTCCTGCGACGATATTCAGGTATGTGCAGCACTAGCATTTAGGAAGTGAGATTACATTTTAATTATGTTTCTACAAATATTCGTAGAAACAAACTACTCTTAACGATGAACAACTGCAAAGGCACTTGCACTCTTTTGTCGACACAAGAATCATTTTGCCTTTGGACAAAGACGGAACGGTGCTGGACAGAGCGACGGCACTGTCACTGGTGACATACGACAAGGACATGAGTTTTCAGCTCAACTTTGGATTTGCTAACAAGAGGCAAAAGTTTAAGCTGACTCTTTCAGTCCAAAAGGAGCCGATACCCGGTACATCGGTATGTATTTCGGTTAAAACTTTCTTTTGCCAAGTTTATATTGAAACTGAGGGAACTTTTTTAGCAAAACACCGAGGCAGAGCAGACACATGCTTCAGTTGAAGAGGACCGCAAGCTGTTTCTCCAGGCGTCCATTGTGCGTATAATGAAGTCTCGCAAGAAGGAGCGTCACAACTTGCTGATTGACGAAGTGATCAACCAGGCGAAATCTCGATTTGTGCCTAGTATTCTCATGATCAAGAAGGCGGTTGAATCTCTCATCGAGAAGCAGTACATTGAGCGCTGCGCCAGCAATGACGAGTACCAGTACATTGCTTAACTCAGCCACACCTCCTCCTCCTCTTCTCGTGCTCTTTAGCTATCCTCCTTTTTGGAAATTCATTTATTACCAATTTCTTACCGAATATTTTATAACGCTATTCACAACGATGTCTTCTTCTTTTCTTCCAAACACTAACTTCTCTTCTGTTTTCCAAGTGTCGCTCTTCCTTTTTACGGATTCTTTTAGCTTAGGCTCGCAGTCAGAAATCAGGCAAGCAAACAACCAATCACCGTGATCCAAGTACACTATTTTACCATTTACACACACACCCACTTTACAAAGGCTGAAATAACAACAATTGATTAACAACACTTTTATTATCTCTGCGTTGTGCTGTACATGTTATCAAAGGAGGGGTGGGAGAGATAGGGCTGATAGTGCACATAGCATTATATCACGGGTGTGGGGGTGGCAACACTCAACTTATTGCAAATCATCAACTGACCAGGATCAACAATCAGGAAGGAGCTTCAGTCGTGCTGAAAGGCTCGCTGGCAAAGCTAGAAGCGGTGTTCATCATCTTGGTGGTGGCATTCGAACTGGTGCGCAACAGCGATGAGCAGTTTTGCCACCAGAACCTGTAGAGGCGAAGGAGATCCGGCGGTCGGCCAGTGTTCAGTCCCACGTCTTCCCAGTTGTCGAAATCCTGATCCACATTCTCATCACAGAAGGTTATCGAGGTGATCTTGTAGTTGTTTGCCAGTAAGTACTCTACAGAAAAGAACCAAAGATTAGATACGTAATGGTGAACTCAGAGGTCATAACTTACCCTGCACAAGGTAGTTAATACTTCGCAGTTCATGTGGCTTTATCGTGGAGAGTGAACTTTTGTTGGTTAAAGTCCTGTACGCCGCGCTGCTGTCCACTGAGTCAAAGACATTGAAAACCGCATCCGATGATTGAACTAGAGTGCTCCTTGTTGTTGTGGTGGTGGTTGTTGAACTGGCGTTCACTTTCAGGTCATCTTCGCCTGGACATGAGTGGCCATCCGCAGAGNAGTTCATGTGGCTTTATCGTGGAGAGTGAACTTTTGTTGGTTAAAGTCCTGTACGCCGCGCTGCTGTCCACTGAGTCAAAGACATTGAAAACCGCATCCGATGATTGAACTAGAGTGCTCCTTGTTGTTGTGGTGGTGGTTGTTGAACTGGCGTTCACTTTCAGGTCATCTTCGCCTGGACATGAGTGGCCATCCGCAGAGCCACGATCATCGGAGAATGAGTCAGTGAGGCTGGCAACCAGTGTGCTGGACAGTGCACAGCCACCACCACCACCATCAGCGTGGTTCAGTAATTTGGCATTTAAAAGCTCCGACTGGTCAAAGCGGTCGTCCTGGAGGGTAGTGGACATGGTGAGACTGGCACGCAACTTTTCAATGGTATTCTGTGCCTTCCTTAGCTCAAACTCGAGAATGGCAACCCGTTCATCACCGGGTCGCTCATTGTCAGAGTACGTGGTGAAGTCGGTGGAGTCATCAAATGTCTGGTCGGATGGACTTCGTACACCTTTCCCCATCGGTAAGTTCAGCTCCTGTCTGCTTTCAGTTTGCTTTTCAAAGTTGTGTGGATTGTCGAAGAACTCTCGCAGTCTGGGCAGCTCCTTTCCACGCTCAATTAACTCGGCGTGCAACTCTAGAGCGGTGAGAATCAGACCTGATCGAAGCAGTTTGTTGGCGATCCGGTCAAACACTTCATTCTCACTGTCAGGTGATGCCTCACTGGACGCTGATTGCGGGTTCTGTTGCTCCTTCATCTGCTCCCGGCGATTGTCACCTCCCGGCGAGACACTGACAGTGATGTCTTCCAGGGCGTCATTGTCAGTCATCTTGTCTCTGCAGTGCGGTGTCCGGTTCGGGTGGTCGATGCTTTGCTTGACTGAAGTGAAGAACTGGTTGACGGTGGGTGGAGGTAAACAAAGAAAACAGTGAACGCAGCTGTGTTTACATCTCCCTTACGAGGCAAAACTGATAGTTATCTGGTAGCAAGAAATAAGACACTGGATTGAGCAGTCTGCAAGTCGACAAGGAGTCTTCTTTCTTTGGCCATCACAGGCAGAGGCACGCCGTGGTTAGCTGAGTGGTGCTGATCAGCGCTGCTGATTCCGTCGGCAAGGAGCTGATTATCACGCTTCAGTTTGTTTCTGGATTTTGTATAAGGCGATTACACCGATGACATCTACACATCTAGGACATCTCTACAAAACTTTTAGGAGGCGGAGCTTTGCAAGAGCATTTTACCTACAAATGAGCCACTTCTTGTCAGTTTCGGTGATTAGTGGGCGTGTTTGATGATTAAGCTCTGCTAGATTTATGATTCAAAATAACATCAAATGTTGCGCATTAGGGTTAAGAAGTTCCTCGCGTCAGTCTACTTCAGCTTACGGCCATATCATGTTGAGCACACCGGTTCTCGTCCGATCACCGAAGTTAAGCAACATCGAGCCGAGTCAGTACTTGGGAGGGTGACCACCTGGGAACACTCGGTGCCGTAAGCTTTTTGCCTTTTTTTGTCTGCATAGACCAATTTCATACCATCCTTAGCAGTTTTTTGAAAACAATGGGATAACTTTAGAAATGTTAAAGTAGTAAGAATGCAATTCACAATAACAATAATAGTTCGAGGACTGCTTTGCAGCAACAACAGTGTCCTGTATGAGTGAATAGTAATAATAACAAAATTAAAATTAATAATGATGACCGCCTACTGAGGACTTCCCGAGGTCGTTTACTTCTTCGCCTGCTTTCGCACCCCAGCATTGCCCTTGCCCACCGGCGTGGACTCTGTCCCCTTGCTAGTGCGTCCCTGCTGTTTGCCCGCTTTCCCAGTCAGACGGGGATTGGTCTTCGGGAGGTGATGCTTCAGTCGACCTCGGGAGTTCGGTCGAGAGGTGGAACTGGCACGATTTCCATGACCGCCGGCGCCGCCTCCCTTGCCGACCGCCTCAGCAGAGCGTCCTCGACGGTGGAAGAGCGTCGATGAGCTGAACTTCTCCACCAGTTTCTGGGCGGAGAGGCGGTTCTCTAAGGCGACGAAGACGCCCTTGCTAAGGATCTCCGTCACCTGGGCGATGGTGCTCGTCTGGAAGACGTAGTTATGGCGGCCACCCTTGAAGGCATTCCACACCTCGACGGCCTGTTCAATGGTGGTGCAGGCGGTGTTGCTCGCCCCGAAGGGAATCACTCCGCACAGGCAAAAGGCGAGCAGTGTGCCGATGCTCCACACGTCCACCAGACGAGTGTCGTAGATGGCCTCGTAGCATTCCGGCGGCAGGTGACTCCACAGATGCTCCTGACGGTCCTGAATGCCGCGGGAGCGCTTGATCAGAATGGACGCCTGCGGGTTCCAGACGAAGCAGGCCAGGTCAAAGTGGGTCAATTTGCTCTGGTGGGTAAATGAGGTCACTTGATGTCAGTCTACCTTTTTCCCTACTTACCACAGAATAGTCCGCCTCGTTGACAAAGACGTACTCTGGGCGAATGTACCGGTGTGAGAGTCCGTGCTGTGCCAGGTAGGCGGCCGTCTGTGCCAGATCTCGAATCACCGTCTGCAGCTTGGGCAGCGTCAGGAGGTTGCTGTTGACCGCCGAGTTGGCCGCACCTGCCGAACTGCCGCCGCCCTCCTGAGCGGGCGGCAGACGCAGCGGCGGCGGAAATCGCCCGCCCTCCTCCTGCAGACGACCGACGATGACCGCCAGAGAGCGCATTCCCTCGAGCGGTTCGTAGAAGATGTAAATGTAGGTGTCGGAGAGGAGGAAGATGTCCAGAGTGCGGTGCACGCGAGCGTTCATCGGCTCGGTGCTGCTGAAGAAGCGCATTATTTTGGAGCTCTCATTGAGCAGCATGTTGCGGTGCGCCACCGGAATGTGCCGGTAGGCGACAATCTTCACTAGAGCGCTCTCGGTGACTGTGGTCGTGCCAGCTGCTCCAGGAGTGTCACTCATCGAGATGACGCTGTTCTCCGAGGACGATGATGGCGGCGGCTGTCCCTGCTGATTTGTTTGCGGCGACGGCTGCTGCTGCTGCTGCACCACTCTCACTGCCTTCAGGTAGTAATCGTTGATTATCACCTCCGGCGACAGGTCACCCTCGAAGGACTGGTCACGGAGGACGCGATAGCCGGGTAGGGCCGATTCATTGCCTTCTCGCAAGTTGATGACGCCCTTTGAGACGAAGATGCTTGCCGACTGCTCACTGAAGGTCGACGGCAAGATGGAGCTCACTTGGGCGTCAGACGGCGGACGATTGGTTTTCTCCGGCGGCCCGTCGACGTTTATGTTCTGTTGGTGAAAAGGGTCAGAAGAGATAACACTCAAATGGAGTAAAAGAATCATTTGTTACCTTCTGCAGGTCGATGCGATAGTATGGAGGTATGTTCTTCTTCCTCACAAACTCGCTAGGGTCTTTGCAGGTGAGGCGAAAGTCCTTTGCGATTTCCCAGAGCGTGATGCGAGCGTCTGCCTCTTTGAAAACGTCATCAAGCAGCGAGCGAAGCTCTTCCGTGATCCACAGTCGCTCTTTGCAACGCTTCCAGGCCTCAATAAACTGAACGTTGAGCTCAGCGGAGGTAGCCGGTGTGGCCGCTTCAGAGGTGATTTCGGCGACCACGGCCGAAAATGGAGTACTGCCAGTGGCCAGCTGGAGGATGAGCACACCCAGGCTCCAGGCGTCCACTTGCGAGCCATTGTAGCCGTCGGTGAAACATTCCGGCGGCAGGTGGTCCAAAAGGTAGCTTTTCAAGCCGGGTAGTGGCAGTCCTCGAGCCAGTGGAATGCTGTCCTTTGTCTCCGCGTCCCAGTAGAGGACGGCGCAGTCAAAGGCGGCCACCTTGGGCAGCTGGTGCGAAATGTCACGACTCACTGACATGACCACGTTTTCAGGACGGAGAAAGCGGTGGGCCACGCCGGAGACGTTGAGCACCTCCATCGCCTCGGCCAGCTTGATCGCCCAGCGCTTCACATCGCGCGCCTTCAGCCCCGGGCCGTGGTAGGCGCCGTTGAGCAGG